CTTACACTCTTTATAAACCTTCCATGCAAAACTCCTCCAGATAGTTGGAAATTTGGCACCAAATAATTTGTTGGTACAATTTTAAGCCACAGCGCTATAATTATAGCTTCAACTAATATTCTGATAATAACATCCAATGCATCGCATGTATGCTGTCTTTTTGAAAAAGACTGCTTCAGAAATAATTTATTTATATATATTTCTTAAAATATATATCACCCAACTGATCTGATTTTGTATTACGCGAATTTAATGCCCAGTAGCACAATAAATATTCATTATTATGGCTAATTTGCATAATACTTTATCACTTGGTGACTATCTTCTTGCAATAAATTGCCTTTTTATAGTTTAATGTGAAATGCGATCTCGTTTAAGATTTTATCGCCATCCAAATTGTTCAGACGATAGTCATAAAAAAATAGTGATTCATTTAAATATTTAACTTAATGCATTTTTTTTTCCTGAAAAAGGAAAAAATTTTAAAGCAAATTATATGTCTTTATTCTATAAAAAAAAAAATGTCTTAAAAGCATTAAATAATAATTATATGTCTGCCTTGGTGTATATTTAATTGTCTATTATGCAAATACGGCCACATACGGCAATATTGCTAAAGTGGAATAATATAAATGTGGAATAATATAATCGTGATTTGTCATAAAATATAATCACTTTTATATATGACGTCAGATATATATTGACTGTTATATATTATTTTACAATTAGACAACGTTATTTACTGGTTCTCATATAGCCAATATTATAATTTGTTTCATATATTATTTTGTGATTTCAATATTTGTTTCATATAAAATCTTGCGATACAGAATTTGTTTCATGTAGAATCTGATAATACATAATTTGTTTCATATATAATCTTGAAATACATAATTTGTTTCATACATATTCCCTTTAGATGTATCATAGCAGATATAGTCATTTTTCTTACATCGGCATTATATTGAATGTATTACACGAATAGTTTTGCAAATATCTATAAAGGAATTAATTTAATTCAACATATTAAAAATTAGTCCGTGCTTACATTAGATATGGAACTAATTAAATGATTTCATTTAAATGAATAATATTTATAAAAAGAATTGTGATAAAAAATAGGGTGCTACGGGATTAGTTAAAGAAAAAAGAATTATTAATTAAATAGATGAACATACTGAATTACGCATAAATTCATCGTTATGCAATATGCGTCATATATTATATAAGTAACACAACACATTATAATTTGTTATTATTTTATACAAATAAATAAATAATGACAGGCACTACATGCTTCAATTTAATAACATTTTAAACAAAGTAAAGCGTTTTTAAGTATTTATTGCACATTGTACAATAGGTTGCACCTTGTATTGCACAAGATGCAATAAATACATAAATGCATAATTAAAAATAAAATTTAGGGAGCAAAGACGGAAAATCCGTTCTTCACAAGAACAACATGTCATTTTAAAAAGATATAAATTAAATTTAATCATTTAGATACATTACATCACCAAATATCCTTTTAAGATTTCTTTCAATGTATAGTTTATATGAACACCAATACCATCACAGATGATGCAAATAAAATCATTTGTGTGCGTAATTGGGGGCGGAGAAAAAATGAAAAATTACTTCCATGTTTATTTCACGCCATTGTTTGAAGATGCATTTTTTATAATCAAATTGAAATATTGATGAGTAACGTCGGTTTGTGCTCCATCATTTTTGTAACTAGATGTAGACATTATTTATGCTCTACAGGAATTCCACATATAGTTCGATTATATTTTTATTTTCATAAAAATAATAAAAATCACAGAACGCAAAACCATTACTCATCTAACTAAATAAAAATGTTTTTAAAAATGTAAATATTTGCAGGATGTATACTTTATAATAGGCTTGAAGAAGTCTGGTGGTTAGCTTGTTCAGTAAAAAAGAATAACAAGTTGCTACCATGTTTATCACAGATTGCTATCTGAAGATGTAATCTTATAATCAAATTTAAATATCGATGAGTAATATCGATTTGTGCTCCATCATTTTTATAACTAGTTGTAGAAATATTTTATTCTCTTTAGGAAATCTATATGCTACTGATGACATTTTTATTTTCTTAAAAATAATAAAAAACATCGAATACAAAAACATTGTTATAGTCCCATATCAATTTATTTAAGTCAGAGATGAAGATCTTGATTTGCACAAATAGTTTTTATAACAGTGGCCTACGATGGCCATATAGATACTACGATGGCCTACGATGGCCCTACGATAGTTCCATATCAACTTGTTTCAAATATGTAATATGGAGGATAATGGTCTCTCTAGATAGTGCAAGTTGATAAGATAAAGACAAAGAGAAAAAAATATAAAGTGTTTTATTAAAAATATAAATCTCGTTATATGATTGTAATATTTAATAAAGATCATCGAATTAAATTAATTCCTTCTTCACAACTATATAAAATTTCTATTAGCACCTTACATAAGTGAATACAATGATGATATAAATCGTTTTGTTGAGTACATATGCTGATAATAATAAAAACATGCCGAAGTTTAAATCACTACATGTTTTTCTGAACTCGCCATACGTGGTGATTCGAAAGCATGATGTCCATCTTTCATCTCACAAATATCAAATGTTTGTAAAATTTTCCCCAATTTGATTACATCAAATACAATTACTTCAGTTTTAAGCCCGAGAAGAATTTTAAATAAGCCGAGATGCGAAAAAGTCTATGATAATGAAAAACATTACGAAACAAACAGTTCTTGAAGCATCAGGTCTTGTTGTTCAGTCTTCGCTGTATTATATAAATTATTTATATATTATTATTATTTATATTCGCTGCATTATATTATTATATTTATCTACGATTTCATATAATTTACTAATTTTTCTGTAGATCGAGGGACCATCTATACTCCTAATGCATGACATGAATTGTCCAACAACGAGCGGTGATACTTTCTGGCTCGCATTTGTAACTCTTCTGGGGAACCAATGGCTGCAACGCATTCTGTCGGCAAATTTTAAATTGGAACCTTTTGTACAGCAACTGCATAACGAAGTTGAACCTTCCTGGACCGTTGATTCGACTTTCATTTATATTGTAGTAAAAAGTTATAAAAATAGTTGCAACATTCATACTATAAGTCATTTTACGCCTTAATTCAAGTATTAATCGGCGTGGTACGCCATGCTTTTGATATAATTGATTTCATCATTATCTTCAATTTCAAATTTTAATTCATTAATTTTTCTGTAGATTGATGTACATTGTTTACCCTAGATTGATGTACATGACACGAACAGTCCAACGACGAGCGATGGGGCTTCATTGAGTTACTGCTCACATTTGTAACTCATCTTCTCTGGGTCCAATGACTACAACGGATTCTGTCAGCAAATTCGAAATTGGAGCCTCTTGTGTACTGATAACTGCATAGCGAAGTTGAGCTTTCCTGGATCATCGATTCAACTTTCATTTACATTGAAGTTTTTTTTTCTTTTCTTTCTAATGTAGCTGGCAAACACTTAGACAGCTTGGTCTTGAATGCCTTAAGGCAAGCGCTTCACAGACGTACTCACTTTGCGTTACCCAAGGGGCGCGTGTAACTTGAATATAAGCCACGGACGCGGGGTAACAATGCCCCCGCAACGCTCGACGATCCTATTAGACTGGGACCTACAGTTTAAAGTGGATTCCGAACCACTACAGACATCCATGGCACCGCCGGGACTCGAACTGCGTTACCGAGCGCCAGAGCGCTAGCCACTCGGCCATTCAGGCCCCATTTACATTGAAGTAAAAAGTTAAAAAAAGTAGTTGCAACAATTATAAGTCCTTTCCCGTCCTATTTGCAGCTATTCGGCATGGTACTACACGCTTTTGATGTATTTGATTTAATTATTTATTTTTTATATATATATATACTCAGAAAGCATAATAAATTGTTTATCTTAATAAAAAAGTAAAATGAAAAAGAAATAGAAATTGACCTACCTGAAAATAATTACATTTCTTAATACGATAAACAATAAGTTCTTTTACTAAATGCTATTACTTTCTTATAATAACATATAAATAGAATTGATAAATAGAAATTGACCTACCTGAAAATAATTACATTTCTTAATACGATAAACAATAAGTTCTGTTACTAAATGCTATTATTTTCTTATAATAACATATAAATATAATTGATAAATATTATCATTCAAAAAATATTTATAAATCTTTTTTAAAAAAATTCTAAATTAACATTCTTGAAACATTCATTCACAAACAAAATTTTCCAAATAGAATTTAAAAATAAAAAAAGTATTCTTAAAAGATCTATTACAATTGAATATATAAGTGTTACTAGAGTGAATATCATAGATTTAGTATAAACGAATTACTTTTTATTTCCTTAATCACAATGGCGTAAAATGAGAAAATAAAGAATTGTTTTCATAAGTATTGTTCTCAGTACTGTTTTTTTTCTTTTACAATCTCACGGTTGAATTTTTTTCATTGTTTTTTTATGGTTTTATACTTAAGAAAAGTATTATGTATACATTTTTATCCATTATTTAACAATGAAAAATGTTTTAGACAATGGATTATTTTTCTTAAGCATTACTTAAAATTTGTGGTTTATTATTTGATAAATAATTATTAATTTATCAAGCAATGACTTATTTAATACTAATTTATTTTTTGAAATTAGTTAACTATTTATTTGTTAGAAACTATTAAAATTTTTTTTTTTTTTTTGCTATTTTGTAAGTGGACATGCTTGCGAAAATTTTAAAAGGTATTATAAAATTCTTACGACACAATTTAAAATTTACGTTAAGTTTGGAATTAAATTTATTATTTTTTTTATTGACATTAAAATCAAAGTTATGATTTTAAACTATCCATTATTTATTGTTAAACTGTCCATTACGTAATTGTTTTAAAGTTATTTTATTAGGATTTAATATTTATTTATGGTCCTCGTTAGATCACCGAAGTCAAGCATCATTGGGCGCGGTCAGTACTTGGGTGGGTGACCACCTGGGAACACTGCGTGCCGTTGGCAAATTAGGGACCTGAATGGCCGAGTGTCTAGTGCTCTGGCGCTCGGTGCCACAGGTTTCGGGTTCGAATCCCGGCGGTGCCATGGATGTTTGTAGTGGTTCGTAATCCACTTTAAGCCGTAGGTCCCGGTCTTATGACTGTAAGAGCGTCACGGAGCAAAAGTCAGGCTTCTACCTACGGGTTCTCCATCACAACAGAAGCTGCTTCCTTCCACTTCAATCATGAGCCGTATGAGCTCGTGGGCTTGGCCAGCCAAGTGGGATAAGAAACAACAAACAACAAACATATTTATTTATTATTATTATTTCTTTACTTTTTGTTTTATGCTATTCTAAGTTTATATTTCATTCTATATTTTGAAAGATACAATGATTCAAAAACTTTTTAATCATCTAAGAAATTGTAATGTTTTAGGTTACCGATTTAAATTTCCAATACTAATTTAATATAAGGGACTTGATGGCCGAGTTACTAGGTGTCTGACACTTGGTGCCACAGATTTCGGGTTCCTATCCTGGCAGGCGCCATAGATGCTTGTAGTGGTTCGAAATTCACTTTAAACAGTTGGTCCCGATTTAATGACTGTTGGTAGTAGGGCTGACAACCCTACTCTGTGAAAAGAAAACATTTCATGTTTCGAAATCTGCTAGTAGGCCACCATGGGGCTGTTGTGTCAATGAAAAAGAATTTAATATTGAATAATTGATGGAATTTAAATAGCTGAATTTTGATGCATTAAGTTTATAGAAATTTTTAAACAAATTTCGATACAATACATAATCAAGCTATCAACAAAAGGACGTAGTTTTATTAAAAAATTGTAATATACTTTAGAAATCACAACCGCAAAACGTATTATACAGGTTTTGAACATGGACTAACATATTTAATAGCTATTTTTTAACATTACTCAACGGGAAAATATTTCAGTATTCTGTATACTTACCATGATTAAAACCACAAAAGGAAGTAAGCGAAGAATAAGGGCACCAAACAATTAGTATGTCAGTAAATCTCTGACAAAATTAACTTGTCAGTACATCTTTAAAATTCGATTATAGACCAAATTTTTAAAGCATGTATTTTAATATTTCTAAAGCATGTTTATAATGCCAACGGTCGTACCATGCTGAATATACCGGTTCTCGTTAGATCACCGAAGTTAAGCATCATTAAGCGCGGTCAGTACTTGGGTTTGTGACCACCTGGGAACACCGCATGCCGTTGGCAAATTTGGGACCTGAATGGCCGAGTGTCTGTCACTCGGTGCCACAGGTTTCGAGTTCGAATCCCGGCGGTGCCATGGATGTTTGTAGTGGTTCGGAATCCACTTTAAGCTGTAGGTCCCAGTCTCCTATGACTGTAAGAGCGTCACGGAGCAAAAGTCAGGCTTCTACCTACGGGTGCTCCATCACAACAGAAGCTGCTTCCTTCCCCTTCAATCATGAGCACGCATGGGCTCGTGGGCTTGGCCAGCCAAGTGGGATAAGAAACAACAACAACGTTTATAATTCGTTACTATCTTTCAAAGTAATTCATTAAGTCAAAACTCATTTTGATCTTTTCAACTTACATTCCCTAAAAAGATTTGACTATTTCGTATGGTATTTAAAAGAATATTCAGTTTTTGAATGAAAATGGGAACAAAATGTTGACATGGTTACCGCTTAATAATACTTTAATATAAACGACAATACTTTTGTCATTTAAAGTGCTTTTAATTAAATCATTTCCATTATAACTCTGTAAGTCGAACTTCAAGGGAGACACCAAATAATTCGAGTTATAAAGTTTTCGACTTACTCGGATTTTGTAAGGAAATATTCGACTTTATTAGTCGATATTAGATTCTTTTAGATTCTTAGATTTCGATTCTTTCTAACTTATTTTGAGTTAGAGAGTTAAAAATAAATAAAAATTCAGGTTACAGAGGTAATAAACATGTTTATTTGTCACTTAAAAATTATGTTATGTACTACAATAAAAAATCAAAATAATTCCGAAACAACCTTAAAGGTATCGAGTTGTAAAGGTTGTAAAATCAAACATCGCTAATGTTCGAGATACAGAGGTCCAATTTTTTTTTTCGAGTTACGGAGGGAAAATATATACCAAAATGGCTTGTGGGGATTGATTAATTATTTCGACTTATAGAGGGTTGAAATTGCGAGTAATGGAGGTTTTGGGGCTTGAAGGGAAGGGAATAACAAATTTTTTCGAGTTGTGGAGGTTTTCGACTTATCGAGGTTATACTGTAGGTGGATACATTTGCTATTTGTTTCGTATTTAAAAAAATATTTTTTCGAATATAATAATTGAATTAGTTATTATTATAATTAAATATTACAACCTATTATCATTATTATTTTGACGTTAAGACTTTCTCTTATGAAATTCAGCGAAGATATTTTAAATTGCATTCATTAAAAATTTTTTTAAAAAATCAAATTATCGGCTTTTCTTTGCATTTTTCATGGAGCATAAACAACGGCTTTCGAAAAGAATTTGCCCTTCAAATAAATTGCCAGAAAAACTGAACAACTGGTGGCGTAGTTTTCTTTATTTACGTTTAAAGGAAACGGGAATTTATACGGTAAGCGGAAAAGATTAAATCAAAACAAAAAAAATAAGGAAGATCTGTTTATTTAACTGTGAAACATCAAAGATACCGACCACTGTTCGCCAAGTAGTTTAGAAACAGTAAAAAAATAAAAAAAATAAAAATTAAAAAATTACTTTTTTTTTTTTTTTTTTTATTCCCGGCAAATATTTTATGGGGAGAGAGAAATTTAGATTTATTTCAGAGAAGTAAATTTCAAAGATAATAAAATAAATAAATAAAAATGAGGATCTCAAGGATTGAGACCATTAATAGTTGAAAAATTTTTATTTAAAAGAATTTTTAATTTTTTATTAGAAAATTATATATTTATAATTATATATTTATATTATTTAGAAATTTTTTATTCCTAGGAAATATTTAATGATAGATTTATTAAGCGAAGTAAATTTCAAAATCCTGAAAATAAATAAATGAAAATGAGGGTCTCAAGGGTTGAGACCGTTATCATTTGAAAAGTCTATGACGATTACAAAGATACTGCAATGTCGTTCTTACTAAGAAGAAATTGAAATTAAAATATAGATGCACGTATAAAAATATTTATTTTTGGGTTTATAAGTTTTATATTAATTTTAATTTCGAATAGATTTTTAATGTGATAAAATATTTAACTATGGTAAAATATTTGATTATTAAATATCAATATTAATAAAGTATTGATATTTAGTTTTCGTACAATATTTATTATTTCTAATATGATAAACATTTTTATTACAAATAATTTCTAACTGACCAAAAGGGTTATTAAAAAAATTTATATCTATTATTCGATATTAGCTTATAATAATATTTTAATTAATATGTTATACGATTTATATTGGTATGTGACACATAAGTTTGGATTTGAAAAGTTGAAATTGAATGAGACTTTCTCTTTCGTTTGGTGGAAGATTAATTATTCTTTTCTTCTTTTTTTACAATTTTTAAAAGAAACTGCTTTAAAGTTTTTGTAAAATTTTTAATTATTAAAGAATGAAAAAGACCCTTAGGTATTAACGATTTTTATATCAGAATGAATGTTTGTGAATTAGAAAAGGTAAAAATTTTCGTTAAAATTTGTGTTCCCCAGAAAATCTTCTCAAATCTCATTTAACTATTTGTCATAATTGTCATAGGTCAATTGAGCTAGGATATGTTATTTTTTTCGTTAAAATTTGTTGTTAATTCAAATTTTCGTTACAATTTGAAACTAGAAAATCTTCTCACATCTCATCTAACGGTTTGTCATAATTACCAAAGTTCAATTGACTTAAGATATGTTATTTTTTTCGTTAAAATTTGTGTTAACTAAAATGTTCTTTAAAACTTTGCGTTCACCAGAAAATCTTCTCACATCTCTTCTAACGGTTTGTCATAATTACCAAAGTTCAATTGACTTAAGATATGTTATTTTTTTCGTTAAAATTTGTGTTAACTAAAATGTTCTTTAAAACTTTGCGTTCACCAGAAAATCTTCTCACATCTCTTCTAACGGTTTGTCATAATTACCAAAGGTCAATTGACTTAAGATATGTTATTTTTTTCGTTAAAATTTGAGTCCATTAAAATTTGAGTTCATTCAAATTTTCGTTAAAATTTGTATTCACGAGAAAATCTTCATCTAATGGTTTGTCATAATTACCATAGATCAATTGACCTAAGGTATGTTATTTTTTTTCGTTAAAATTTGTGCAAATTAAAATTTAATGTGTATTGTTTTTTTGTGTTAATTTTCGTTAAAATTTATGTTCACCAGAAAATCTTCACACACCTCATCTAATGATTTTCCTAAATACCATAGATCAAATGGATATCAAATGGATTAACGATATGTTATTTATTTATTAAAGTTGTGTTAATTAAAATTTTCTTTAAAATTTGGTTTAATTCAAATTTTCGTTAAAATTTGTGCTCACGAGAAAATCTTCTCACATCTCATCTAACGATTTGTCATGATTACCATATATCAAGATCTAGGATGTGTTATTTTTTTCATTAAAATTTTCATTAAAATTTGTGTTCACCAGAAAATCTTCTCACATCTCATTTAACGATTTAATGAGATGTGAGAAGATTATACCATAATTACCATACCATACCATATTACAACAGGTCAATTTACCTAGAATAATACATCGTTAGAAACACGATAATCATTTAATAATTTTATCAAACAGCGTTAGATATATGTCTCAAATGTCCAGTCTGTATTTAGTGAATGTACCCGATTTTATTAACGTCACAGAAAAAAATACAAAAGTACTTGAATTAATAATTTTTCTGCCTTTTCCTTATCACCCATCCGTTTGATTGTTTGAGACAATCTGCTTAATCCCTAAATTTTATTTCACCCAATCCTCCTCTCAAGTCTCCGAAACAGAATTTTTTTAGATTT